CCGATCGACAACATCTCCTCTCACATTGCCTGAGGGCAGACGTCACGCCCCTGACAGCGATCAGTCAGTTCTGCAGTGATCTGCAGTGAGCTTTGCAGCCCTTTACTGGGATAGAACCAGTAGCTGCCCATAACGCACCACCGCCGCCCCTCTGGGACGGCTCTGCTCCCCGCTGGCAGTTAATCCCCCTTAATGACCGCTCGCTGGGGTCGGGCGGCTGCCTTCTGCTTGAGAATGGCGCGGGGCGCCATGCCAGTCTGTATAGGATGGCCCTCTGGACCGTCTTCAGGAAGGAGTGATGCTCTATTACGCCACGGGGTGGCGCGCAGAGCATATTTGGGGACGACCGGTGGTGCCGTGCGCCGTCCAGGCCATGGTGACGTCATGCAGGGGTGACCGTCGCACTGGACCACCCGTCAACTCGGTCGGCCAGCTCGGCAGCGAGCTCGGCAGCGGGCTAACTGGACCGGAGGCACTAGCCGTCCATACGGCACGGCCGTCCGCTGTTCCCCTCTTGGGGTCTCCCCGACCAGACGGCGATGTACCCTGTCCCGGCGCCGGTCGGCTGGTATGCGCTAATGACCCTGACCCCGCCGCGAACCGAGCGGACGGTGAGGATTATCGGGGCGGGCGCCGGCCCGGCGCGGTTTCTGCTCGACTGCGGGGACCGCTTCCGTCTACCGCGGCGACATGCTATTATGAGTGCAGCGCGCTGGACACCTGTCGTACTGATCGTTTACAATTGTGATTCCTCCCGTGTTATATAAACAATCGACATCACCCGCAATGGGGGACCTTTCCGGGCAAAATGAATGGGAAGACGAAAGATAAAGAGGAGAGAGAGAGAGAGAGAGAGAGAGAGAGAGAGAGAGAGAGAGAGAGAGAGGGAAGAGAGAGAGAGAGAGAGAGAGAGAGAGAGAGAGAGAGAGAGTGAGAGAGAGAGAGAGAGAGAGAGAGAGAGAGAGAGAGAGAGAGGAGAGAGAGAGAGAGAGAGGAGAGAGAGAGAGAGAGAGAGAGAGAGAGAGAGAGAGAGAGAGAGAGAGAGAGAGACGAGGGAAGTGGATGATGTGAGCGTTTTTAGGGAAGGGCTAACTACAGGGAAGGGGAGCCAGACAACCAGACATTCATGGACGGTCGCCAGACGCACCGACCGACATTTTGACAAATCCACGGACCGACAATCTAACCCATTTGACAGAAGGACGTGCAGACAATTGGACCGACAAACCGACGGGGTGGCTAGCGAGACAGGTCGACTCTCTCACCGACTGGATGGCGTGCAATCTGACGAATAAACAGACGAACGGGCTGGCAGACCGACATGATTGACCGACCAACAGATTAAACCACCGGCGGACTGACCGACGGACTGACAGGCCAGACCGACAGACAGATGGGCTGACAGAGAGGTAGACAGACAGGCAGACAGACAGACAGACAGACAGACAGACAGACAGACAGACAGACAGACAGACAGGCCGACGACTTATCGATCGACTTGACGATGACCACAGTTGGGAAGGTGGCGGTGTCGATTATTTACACGCATACTTGAATGCACTGTAAAAATGGATCAACTTCAGTGTCCGTTAAATGTTAGATGACCTGAATGATCCTCGGGTTTAATCGGATTATCCAGATCATTCTCAACTAATATAATGGCCTAATTGAACATCTAACCGCATTGATCTCCTCCTTTACAAACAAAAGTCCATGTTCAATCGTTCTTTGACAGCGTAATTGCTTGTCACTGACCTCGCACGGCCCCGTCACGCTCCCGACGGGCGCCCGGCCGTCCGTCCCGCTCCGACTCGCTAATCCGCTGCTCCACCCGGCCCGTCTGATCCCTTCCCATGCGGCAGACCGCCCCCCGCATTCCTTCCGAGAGCGCAGCTGACCGTCGCCACCCGGCCGCGGGTTGAGTGATTAATGGCACGCGATTGTTCCTATTCTTTCCTTGGATAATCCTATCACTTAATCACCAGGACAGCTAATGATATAAATGTGTAGCGTACTACTGCATTTTACCGTGTCGTAAGGAATCTGAACGCAAAGCAATTCTGTAAGTCGATCGAGGCGATATCGAGCTATTCATGAAATATAAGGACAAGTCGGATTGCTTCCCATCAAAGGTTCTACTTTACTTTGGAGACCGAACCATAATAACAGTTAAAATTTAACCATAAGCACGTCCATTTCACTTACGTTTTTAAAAGCACAACAAAGAAACGGCAAAACACAAAGTACAGAGTCATGGCACGTATGTTATTTCAAAGTATTTGAAAATAAGTACCTAACAGATGCTGCATAAAACAAATTATTAGCTGATCAGATAAGTCTGAGGTGTGAGCTACTGATTCTATACCGAAATTAACCTGAGATATCCGAAATGAAGGCCGGTAAATGACGATAATGGACTGACGATATTTTGCAACGAGGTAAAGAATTAACTGAAAAAAAAAAACAAACAGACTGAGGAGATTTAATTGCTGGGAAACTTAGCTACGGAACCGCCTTCACCAAACTGTACGCCATCAGTGATCAGCCGATCGGCCGGCCGGTTCAGCCGCACCGCTAGCACAGACGCTGACGTGAGACAAATCACTTGCGCCGCCGGAATCCTCGTGATTAGTGGACCCATTGTGTATCCCGTTGAGACCCACACGATATTCCCCCAGTCTTGTCACCTGCAATGCCCACCGAAGTGTCCCGGCCCCGCCATAAACGTGTTTAAACTTCCCGATCGCTCCCCATTTGTGATCTCATTTCCCAATTAACTCTGAAAGAGTCGTTCCACTATCCCCGGTTTATTCACAAAAGCGGAGAGATCAAATTAGCCAAAGACTTTACACCGACCAATTCTAAACAGAAATTGATATCAAATTTAAGATAACAGCGCTAATAACCTATTTCCCTAAGAGCTAGTGGCACGAATGGCAAACCAAGGTAACAAAGTGTAATCAAACCCGGAAGCCGGACGATAGGCCAGTCAGATAATTAACATGCGCAGGCAGAAAGCATTACCCTCCCCCTTCAGAGATTAACCCGGGGAGCACCTCTGATGAGCGGAGCAGAGCCCGACCACGACGCCACGCCACAGTGCCAGGTGTCAGGGCACGCCCCCCCTGTGACCCTGCTAATGAACCCATCGATTATCCCCACACACCACACTCACATACACTCACACCTATTCTACTGTCCCCTCTAATCAGATCCATCAGTAACCAATAAGGCCGGATTAATCACCTCAGGGAGGGAGAGAGACCAGGGCGGCAAACAGGACACATGATAAGGAAAAGATGGGCTGAGCAGACTTGTGCCACCAGTGCTAACCTTTTGGTGCTGGGTGCCAAATTTGATACAATGGCTGACTGGGTGGCGCTGAGCTGACCGTTGAATGACGAGAGATTGAGACGAGCAGACGAGGCGTGGTACCGCCGGCGCAGACTGCGAATGTGACCGGCGAGCAGGTCTTGGCTCCCGTGCAGGGACTTACTTGTTTACTGGCGTCAGCCCTCTGGGTCGTCGAGCCGGCGGCGGGAAGCTGGCCATGACCGGAGAGATAGAGATGAGGGCAGGCGCCAGACGGCGCCGACCCGTCCACCTCTTGCGTCACCACCGACTGGACTGTGCTCCACTGTCTCTGTCTGTCCTTGTTGTCCTGAGGCCCCTCCTCTCTCTTTTCTGCCCTTTTTGTATCCCTCTCGCCGCCTCCTCGGGCCATCTTCTGAATCCTCAACTTCGCTCCGCCCCTTTTCTGTCGATATCGGTTGTATTTCTTGCCAAAAAGGTTCATGTTTCCATCAGTTTGACCCTGGATTTGAGCTTTAAATCGTCCAACTTTTGCAGCGCGCCCTCCGGGGGCCGTAGTCATGGTGATATTTTGTCTTCAACGGTGCTCCTCCTATTTCGAATTTTCCTTTCTCTGATAGGTGGGAACTCATAAGCTCCCACCCCTTCCCACAAAAATGTAACCTCAGGGCCAGCTGCCATGGTGTCGTAGCTCCGCCCACATTTCCATCTTCCATTCGAGCCTCAGATGCACTCCTGACGCCGGTCGCGGAGGATGGGGAGAGGCGGAGCGGCGGTCCAGCTGCATATGGGTCACCGCATAATGGTGCTCAATGTCCCGGAATTCGGCGGAGTCCTTGATTAATACCGAGCGGCCTGAAATAGCAATACTTTTCTTCTTTTAGCTCCCCCTCTCCCCCGATGCCCGCCCTGCCAGACGTGCCCTCCATGCCGATGGTGATCGCAGGCCGACACCGGCCGTCTGGTGGGGGGGGGGGGAGGGTGTGGGAGTCGAGAGATGACCCATTTCGCACGGCGGCCGGTGCCGAAAACAGCTGCGCCCTGCTTGCCCGGTGACGGTTCCTGTGTCTCTGATGGGGCGCAGGTTTGGGCCAGTGGCATGCCATTTCGTCTGTTCAGCTTCGAAAATAGAGGTGTTTGCTTCAAAACTGCCCTTGTGTTCCGTGTCAGAGGCGCAGCTGCAGCGATTTAATCGAACGTGGCGCTGCCATGTGCTACCCTTTCAGAATACTCTTGTGTTGAGTCCGGTCAGAATTTTCCCATGGTCGTCGGACGGTCATCAGTGGCATTGCCAGTTATTTTTGGATGTCAGCTGCCGTGAGAGGGCCGGGCCTGGACAGATGAGAGAGCCGGGCCTCTGTGCCCTGTGCGGCGCACGCAGGTGGCTGGGGTCGGCCGGCGGACGACTGATGACTCTGTTTATGAAAAGAGTCGGGTGCCAGACTGCAAAGCCGGCCGCTCACGCTTTGAAGATTAGGGTGGGAGCGGGTGACACGCTTCCCCTCCCACGGCCTAAATGTGTTGGGTTTTCGCAGCTGCCCTCCTCTGCGCCTGGCCCCGTCCCGGCTGATATTGTGGGTCGGTGTGCCGCGGCCGGGAGCCGGCGTCCGCAAAGAAAATGAACGCGGCAGCGTTACATGTGTGTTTCCTCTTCTTCTAACACTATCCATTCCACCAGCACACAGACATGAACAAAAAGTAGATATATTGAAATGAGCCGAAAGATGAGACTGAAACCAACAAGGCCGAAAATCAGTTCTGCAGGAGTTGCTAAGGCAATCGAGCAGGCCGATATGAAGAACCGAAAGAGTCCGAAAATCAGTCCTGCACGAGCTGCTATCGCACTCGAGCAGGCTGATGAAGAAGCCGGAAGTGCCGAAAGAACAGTCTGCAGCTGCCAAGTCGTGCCAATGGCCTTTCTCGTCAGCTCCACGACAGCAGGCAGGCTGAAACATAAGTTAGCTAAATAAGACCGGACACTGTCATCGAAAAGGGCCGAAAGGGATAACCAAAGGACAAGCCGAAAACGATAAAACATAACCGTACAACCTCATACCGACTTCCGAGTGGTTGACTTAGTCCCTGTCAGACGAACTTTCTGAAAGAGGAAGGTCAGCTACCTTCGTCCCCATAGTGCAGCGCAGCTCCCCGAGAGCTGGCTGGGGCAGACCGCCCGTTCTCTTATACTTACGTGTGCATGTCGAGTGATAGTGTTGGAGAGTGGATGTTGTTGAGTGTGGTGTGGACTGTGTGAGTGTGTCGCTGCTGCGTCTGGCGCCCGTTTTCTACCTATCCGACAGTCGTTTGCCCTTGGTGTGTCGTCAACTCATTATCAGTTGTTTACTGATACCACGTTCAGTTTTTCACAATCTAACCCTCGCCGAGTGTTTTTGCTGTGGGCGAACGGTGGAGGTCAGCGAGATAGGAACCGAGCGAGCCGCCGCCGGTTGGTCGGCCTTGGCCTCCGGGCCGACTGACGGGGCGCTTCCCGTCGCTGGAAATAATGAGTGTCGCCGACTAGCCGCTCAGAGCAGATGGAAACGATATTTCTCACAATTCGGTGGCATTTCGGTAACGCGTCAGTTCAATAGAGTGCATGCGATTGAACATAAGAATGGTTCGATAATGCCATTCAATCACTTTGTAGAGTACGAAACCAAAAATAAAAATAAAACTAACATTTTCTCTGAAAAGGGCACAAAAGTAAGACCGAGGATATCACGATAAACCCATTGCTTACAGTCTCTTCACATATATAAACTTACCTTCAGTAGAGTCTCGAATGGCAGACGAACAACCAAGTAACAGACTCCTTTTTGCATTGGAGATGAAACAGGCACTGAAAGAACAGACAAATGCAAATATTATTAGAATTCATCAAGGATAATATATCATTGTCTACTATGTCAAATAACAACTAAAATTTCAACAACAGCACTGAATCATGCCCTAACCTGTCCCGGTCCACCTCAGTGAACCCGATGAAATCCTCAGACGGTGACGGTGATCGAGGTCGGTACTTTTCCTCCTTCACTAAAGAATGCAGAGCGCGGTCCGAGAAAGGATCGTCGTCCGACACCGAGGGAGACGACGGCCGCTCAACCTAGACCGGATCAACAGACGAACAATATTCAATGAAACATGAGATGTTTATCCTCCACAGATATACAAATTGGAACACATTAACCGCTGTCATTCCCTTTTATTAACCTCGCAGCTAAAAACCAATGAGAGGTGAGCACCATGCATTTGAAGACGTACCCTTGGTGAAGTGACTTCAATCTTTATCTCCTCCTTCACAACTGGCCGAAAGTCGCTCTCAGAGCCACTGTCTATGGGAGTGCAGTTCCTCGGCCTCTGAGACTTCCTCACACTCTGTGACGGACCCCATTCCCCGTCGCTGTCAGCGGAGCCCCCCAGAGACCACTTTGGTCCTTTTGGTGACATTGATGCAGCCCGCATGAGCGGCAGTAGTTCAGACACTGGTGGATCTGGAATAGGGTCCAATGTCCTTTGTCAGTTCACATTGAGTTGACTAGATGAAAGCACAAAACGGAGAAGTTATGTAGCAAGAAAATACAAAGTTGCAGAGTTATCACCACCAATAATTGAATATTCCTTATGGAATTAATACCCATAAAACATCTCTCAATAATGACAATGACATGGTTTGCCAACAAGAATGCAGCAGGAAAATAATGGAGGTGCTCCTATACCTGGCATTTAGATCCTGGCTTTATATGAAAAAAAAACTGTAGCCTCAAATGATCTCTGATGACTTTTCTAGAGGGCAGGCTAGCAGCCAAAGACACCTTTGTTGTCACAAGTAGTCCAAATCATTGCGATTCTGAAATATTTTTATTGTTCCTCCTGACCTGGCAGGCTGACATGACCTCAACCTGGGGTCAAAAATTTCATATGTTGTCAAAAAATGATGAACTACAAGCTACTCCAAGCGGTGAGGCGCTTCCCACCAGTTTTTTATTCACACGCAAAAAACTGGACAGGGTGGTAACAAATCCCCCCCCCCACTGGGGCAAAGGTTAAAACTGGGTAAATACTATTAGAATTGTCTCGTGGCGACCTACATGATGGTACTTTCAATTTCCCACTGTTGAAGCTTCTTCCTTACCCATGGATGCCTAGACAAAATCATTGCGTCAGGTTTGAGGTTAGGTAAGGTCTGGTTATGTTTCTTTTTTAATATTTTGGAGACACCTACCTTATCATCATATCTGGATTTCAGTAGGTGGAACTATGGTCATGAGTACCCAAATATAGGAACGTTCCCATTTTTAATATGGGAACGGGCGTTCCCATTTATGAGAACGGAAGGTAATTTTTCGGCCGTTCGCCCACTAAATCTCATTAGTGCACCACGTCTCAAAAAAGTGCACGCTAATTTAAGTATCTACTAAGTCTCTATAAAATTATCCTTAATCTGACCGTCGAACAAGGAAATTGACCGTCGAATGATATTTTTAATGATTTTTTGAAATGACGGAATGGTGAAAACATGGGTTATTCTACATTTAACATGCAATTTTAAGGAAAATGAAGCGTTTTTTACATTTTGAGGTCAAGTATAATATTTTTCGTCTGGTTATGAAGTTTCATATTAGCGACACCAGATGCTGACATATGCAAGCGAACACGCGGACAGTCCCGAGGTAATATTGTTGACTTTTGGTGTCGGGGCGCACGACCTCGTGGAACGTCAGTGATTTCACCGAACTACTAGTGTAAACTCAGTTTTAGTGGTTTAAAATTATTCAGTTGTATTTTATCAGCCCGGAAAGACATATTTTATTTGGATGCTAGCTGTTTAGCGTTGTTTTATAAGGAGCGTCATGAGCGTGGTTTTTGTCTTCTGTGTTTCTAAGCATGATCGTTTTGGGGGAATTTCTCTTATATTGGTCGCTCTGTGTGGCTTGTTTATAATTTTTATGCTGATTTCGATCATTCCTCGTGCCCATCCTACCAGGCCTTTTGCCACTTACACTCATTAAGAAAGGAAAAAACTAGATTTTCATTGGGACTAGGTGTTTTGAGTGTGTAACATATTCAGCGTTCCCATTTTTGGATACTTCCTTGTGCTCGTCAACCATCAGTGTTAAACAGACGGGTGCTTGACATGTCTCCAGTCTCCACCCTCGGCCCTTGCCCTCGGCGCGGACGGTGGATATAGGTATGGAAGACCTTGTTGAACATCGCTGAGCGTTGTGAATTACGTAATCCTGCAGAGGGGGGCGTGCCCGCTGCGAGATCGACGGGAATAAAAGCGCAGAAGACCGGGCGAAACATGCGACGGTCTTGCCGGAAAGGTCATCTGATGATTGTTGCGTTGACAATGATTTGCGGCGTTGGACGTGATGCTTGTTAATGAAAAGAGCCCCTGAAAGGCGTCGGCGAAATCGTTCCCAATATTGGGTACTCCGTTCCCATAATAAGGAACGCTTGCAGCGCCAGTGTATGAGAGCGTTCCCAAATTTGGGCTCGCGGCCCGGATGATGGACTGCTTTAGAAATAGGGGAACGATTTGAAATTACGATGGGCCTTACAATAACAAACTCTTTCCCAACAATATTGAGACAAATATCAGGCGGTTCACGGTCGTTTTATATTTTTTGGGACGTCATTTAACGGTTCTTTTTCTTGTTTTAAATAATGCCTACATGGCGTTCCCATATTTGGGTTTATCGTTCCCAAACATGGGAACGAAAATGCGTTCCCGAAAATGGGTACGCTTGACCATAGTTCCGCCTACTGATTTAGCGCATTAAAGGGACCCTCCCACCTTCAAAAAAGTTAATGAATTGGCATAGAAGTGATGTCCCTTGGTTCGGAAAGATCAAAAATGAATATGTACCAAAGTTCACCGAAAAATATTCACTGGATTTCAAGATATTACTTTTACTTTTGTTTACTTTTTGGAATCTCTGCTGTTCCTAGCGACTATTTGAAAGTGCGGCACTTGTTGCGCTTAAAACAGCATATACCACAACGTGCTACCAAATGTTTTAGTAAAACATTTAAAATCATTAGATCTCCGCTGACATCACAAAATCTAAGGGGGCATTCCGGTGCAGTCGCCCCTTAGAATCCGAAAACTGCACGTTTGAAATTCCATATCTCCAAATTAAAGCATTTTTCGATGTTGTTGTGAGTGCCCAAACCGGTACTGAAGGCCATGGCCACCAATTTGGCTATCTCAACTCAAAACTAATGTTAAGGTGGGATGGTCACTTTAAAAATGGAAGAATACATAGGTATTACGTAAGTAGGCACTACTTACTTTTGAAAAGTGAGTCGATGCTATTATACCGAACTTACCATGCTGATCCATCTCAATCTCCAAATCAAGATCCCTCGTTTTCTGTGCGAGTCCGCTCAGAATGAGAATTCTATAGATGGCCTTGATGAGAATAAGTTGAAGTCAAAGTTGAAGTGCGCATCACTAGCTACACACGACGCGTGCTCTCACGTGGTACTGCAGCAAAACTGCGTCATAAATGTCGAAATCCAAGGCTCAGGGTCATCGAAATCAACGTCCATCAATTGAGCAGCAGGTTGATATTCGCGAATATCAAACTGAAAATTCGATATTCGGACGGGGAACGCAATAACTCAAGAACCAGTGAACCGATTTTGATGAAAAGGCCCTCATTCGATTCCTCGTTCCTTATTGCAGGTCGACGGCGATTTCCAGGTCACTAGGTCATGACCTTCAAGGTCAAGGTCAAGGTCAAAGGACGGGGAACGCTCTACCGATTTACATGCGGTAATTTTTGTAGGGTAGCTTCATTCCTTCTACTAAGTATTGGACTATTCCCGATGCATGTGGGTGACCCCTTACGCACGTGCCACGTGCAAAACGAGGGGTGTCAGTTTTGTAATAGTTGCAATATCTCGGTAACTACTTGGCCGATTGCGCTTGAAGTTGGCATGTAGGTAGTCACCCACTAGGCAATGCATATCCATTATCCATGTGCCAGAGTTGGGGTGCTGCTGCACGTGCGCACGTGCAGGGGTCGATTCCAGATCTCGAGAACGGCAGGACCGATTGCGCTCAAATTTGGTACGCAGTTAGGGACCGGTTAGTAGGGTGCCGTGTAAGTCACTTGGGACCCATTTTGCACGTGCGCACGTGCGGGGTGCCGCTTCGAGATCTCGAGAACGGCTGGGCCGATCATGTCCTCAAATTTGGCAAATCGCTGGAGACCGGTTAGTAGGGTGCTGTGCACACGTCAGTTGGAGATACCCCCTCACAATTTCGCATGTGCAAGGCCCACCCTCTCGCTCGCTCCGTTAGTCGCCCCAAAAGGCGTTATACTGGTATTGTAAGCTTTACATGCCACGCCGATCTCCTGTCGGCCTTCGCCTTGTTGACAAAGGCCGCGCAGAAATGCTACGAATAAAGGAATGAGTGGTGGTCACGAAAAATGTATTGTCCCTCAAAGTAGCTGGACATTATTCACAAATCACAGCGCTACGACACTGTACCAAACAGCGACACTCCTTAACTCCTATGTGGAGGCGGATAGTTAAGAACACAACTACTGAATCACCGTGTGTTAACATAAAGAAACAAGATGTGACACTCACACGGGTAGCCAAGAAGCTCACAAACGAGAACCACAGCTACACCTTTTTACGACTAAATATAGACATAGTGCACGCAGCTCAATAATAGTGCAACCGATTGCGACAAATCGCCATTGACAGACTATGGCATACTGTCGGAATCGCCCGCACCATTACTGAAATGTGCGCACTGCCGCCCTAAATTGGGCGTAAAAAGCTGTATAACACTAATATATCAAACGTATGACGACAGCCGGTCATGCACTTGTCGGCATATTTCAGCATTGCATTTCGCCAATCAAGCCATTTACCGCATCAGTCAAACCTGTGTAATTCTCAAAACTGTGTACCAGTTAAAATAGAGTTTTTGCGTCAAACTGCTGAACCGTTAGACAGTAGTCGCAGCAGTGCTGCCAGTCTTCGTGTGGGTCCGCATGTGTCTGATAAGCTTTGCCCGTTGAGCGAACCGGGCCTGGCAGTGTGAGCAGCCGTACGGCCGCTCCCCGTGTGGGTACGCATGTGTGAGGTGAGACTTGGCCCTTGAGTGAAGCGTGCCTTGCAGATGGAGCAGCCGTACGGCCTCTCCCCAGTGTGGGTCCGCATGTGCCTGGTTAAACTTCCCCGTAGAGCAAACCGCGCCTGACAGATGGAGCAGCCGTACGGCCGTTCCCCCGTGTGAGTCCGCATGCGTTCGGTGCCGTGTGGATACGCATGTGTCTTGTTAGTGTAAACTGTTGAGTGAACCGTGCCTTGCACATAGAGCAGCCGAGCGGCCTCTCCCCAGTGTGGGTCCGCATGTGCTTTTTAAGGATTGATTGATCAGTGAACCGTGCAGAGCAGATAGAGCAGCCGTACGGCCTCTCCCCAGTGTGTGTACGCATGTGTCTGCTGAGGTTGGACCGCTGAGTGAACCGTGCCTTGCAGATGGAGCAGCCGTACGGATGCTCACCAGTGTGGGTCCGCATGTGTGTGGTGAGAAGGAACCGTGTAGTGAACCGTGCAGTGCAGATAGAGCAGAAGTGGGGCCGTTCCCCAGTGTGGGTACGTATGTGTACGGTGAGGTTTGACCGGGAAGCAAACCGTGCTGCGCAGGTGGAGCAGCCGTACGGCCGCTCCCCAGTGTGGGTTCGCAAGTGTCTGGTAAGGTGTGACCGTTCAGTGAACCGCGCCGTACAGATGAAGCAGCAGTGCGACCGCACCCCAGTGTGAGTCCTACGGTGACGTTTTATGTCTGTGGACCTGTCGGTCGAGTACCGACACCGCTCGCACTTGAACCTCCCGTTCCTGTCGATGTCACTGTGACACCTCTTCACGTGTCCGTCCAGACGTTGCTTTCCCCAGCATCGGAAGTCGCAGTGGGGACATTGAACCGAGCCACTTATGCCTGAAAAATACACAGAAAAAAAGAAAGGCCCTTAAACAAGTTGCATGCCAAAGCAGGTCGCACATACACTGGAACAATCACGACGCCCAGAGATGACTCACGCAGCTGGTCACGTTTCCAGATCACCTTGGTGAGCGCAGTGGGCGGTAGCGGCAATGTTGACGCGACAAGCCATCAGCGCCCATGAGTTGATCCGTGTATCGTTCGAAATACAGCCTTCAGAAACGGAACGCTGAGCTCGTCTAGAGAATATTTCACTTGCCGTTTATTAACTGTCGCATGGACAGAACTCCGCGCCAACTTATCCGTGAAGGAAAATGATAATTTGCAACACCAAAAAACCAAACTTTAAAGATAAAGAGAGAGAGAAAACGTTATCAATTATTTATCAATCCAATGCCACTTTAGTTGGAAGAACCACACCGTGGCAGATACACCTCGGCCGCAGTTAACGCCACTATCTAAATTAAATGCATGCATGACACAAATGGTTACATTCAGCATTTTCTATATATCTTGATACAATGCAATGCAAACAAACTGAAAAGAAAAGACTGTAAAACAGGCGATAAAACTTAAAAATAGCCGATAATTGATAAACACATTTCTTCGGCCATGACAATATTTGTTTCCCTTTTACATGAAAGCCATAACACTAAGGAACATATGGTAGGCATTCGCTAATGGAGATGGGTCGTGCTGAAAACTCAGTACACCGTGCATGGCAGATGGAGCAGCCGTGCGGCCGCTCTCCAGTGTGGATCGCCATGTGTTTGGTAAGGTTGGACTGTTTAGTGAACCGCACCGTGCAGATGGAGCAGCACTGCGAGTGAGACCTATCCCCAGTGTGAGTCCTTCGGCAATGGATGAAATATTCCTGGATAGGACCAGATAGGACACTCCCTAGTCCCTATTCCCCAACACTAGCGCCGGCGACCAAGCGGCCGCCCTGGTGGCGGAGCTCCGAAACATCGGCGGCAAGTGCGCCGGCGGCAGCCGCACCGGCTTGCGTGCTAAAAACGCGGTAATGGAGGGCGAAATTAGCGAACCTTAGCTCATAAGACACGATTTCAGAGACTTCACACATATTTTAAGTTCTTTCTTATAATTATTATGGCTCCATTTAGTCACTATCACATACGGAATCATTACTTGATGCCCATAAACTGAGCCGGTATCCTCGACTTGCCGATGCAATTTATCATCAAATATCATCGTTCCTCGGCAGTCAAACAAGTTCCTATTGATGATTTAATACAAATATCAACTTATTTTCATGTTATAGCATGAAACTTCACTTTATTCTAACATTGGCTCTTCGGCTGTAATCACGAACCCTCACTTGTCAGCAGAATTTAAGCAACTTCTGAAATCAAAACTGGGAAAAGAATATGTTCATGACATTCCTCAATTCCTGTTCTACCAGGTTCACAAAAATGTTCATCAAAATCGGTTACAGGTAAGTAATAAACGACAAAAGTATACAAAAAGACACGCTCCGCCCATAGCCCGCAATGCTAAAATGGCGCCAGCGCCCTCGCCGTCGGGAAATCCGCCGCCGCCGCCGGGTGGTCGAAAAAAAAAAACATCTATAGGCTGGTGTCAGTCAACCGCAGAGCGTGAGGGAGGGTTACACGTGTGCAGAATCAGCACTACCTGTCAGGCCAATTCGCACACAGAGTAGCGCAGCCGCGGGACCGCTCCATGAGCGATAACAGCGCCACCTACAAAATCCGGAGTCACATGTTGGACCAGCTCGCAGACTGAGCGCCAGGTCGCGAGCAGGTTTAGCTCAGCTGCGACAACGGCGTCCGCCGCAGACAGGTTCAGCGCCACCTGTTGTTCCGACTTGTAGCTAGAAGTTGCCTTCAGTCACTGCAGCACAAACAGGTTGACACTGGAGAACAGAGCCGACCAGCAGATAAAGTTGCCTTCAGTCGCTGCAGACCTCACGGTGTCACAGGCAAACAGTCCTTAGCCATGAGTGAGAGGCCTTAATCAGGGCGGTCAACACTAGACTGACATGGCGCACAGTCTCTGACGAACAGTGCAGCCCGCTGAGGTAGATACTATCGGAAATATCACTCCTTCCGCTGCACGGGCGAAGCATCTCCGCGGGCGGCCCGGAGACCAGGCGACCAGTCAGTCGTAGCGGAACTATTCTTGAGTGCACCAACACCAGTGACGTCGGTTTTCGCAGGAAACTCTAGATGAAGCGCATCAGGCAGGTGACGCCGTGAACTGGTGCGGCTGGCCGCCGCCAGCGCAGCATACCGCATGGTCTTCAGACCTCCCCACTCTCCCACCGAACCGACCGTTGGCCCACGATCCTGTTCCCTCCTCCGACCTCTGCAGAGCATTTGCCGCTCCCCGGCCGCTACCCCCTGCAGCCGAAACCACCGCCAGAGAGCGGATCTGGACAGGGCCAGCGTGCGTACAAAATGGTCCCGAGGCCATTCGCTGGTCGGCGAGGGTAGCACCACGCCTCTTCATA